GAAGGACATTGAGGTAGTGGACTGTCAACACGTGAACAAAGTTAGCCATCGGCCATACAACATGTTCTTCAAAAGTTTGAATTTTTATAGATCATGTTTGCTCATTGGAATGTTCTCTTTTTCTGCTGACTTTTTAGACAGCTGGGCCGGCTGTCCTTCGTCAAAACGAGAACTGACTTTGTCGATCCATAACTCAAGGTTGTGGTCATAGGCTGATCGATTTTTCTACGCTCGTTGCTTGGCCCTGCGCGTGGATTTTGGCGTAACTTGACGGTAATTAGTGTTGTGTGCCGTCCCCTTGGTAGAGGTTGCTGTCCGTAACATCAGCAGAACAAGAAACACATTCGGCAAAAGTAGCTTACGTAGGCCCACTTATTTACCTCTAGTCCCAGCATTTTGTCCTGCAAAACGGCGGTTACAGAGTTTTGAGGTGTGGATAAATCTGATAGGCATGGAAGAAAACTTTTAGAAGAAAGTGCAAAGTGAAAAAAAAATGTAGGCGAAGTTGCTTCCCGCGGCCGCTGGGAGTAAGTTGTTCGTTATGTAAATTGAAGGTGTGCGCGGCGCTTCGCGCCGCGGACTATAAATATCTTACTCCAGGACAGTAAGTTGGACGTCAGGTAAATTTAAGTAGACGACCTCATTACCACCGTTTCAATTTTTCGGGAAACACAAGAAACCTGCAATTGAGTTTTTCCGTAATGAGTTAAACGATAATACAGAGTAGGAAAATCTACAAATACAAATCAACAACACTTCTTAATACCGTAAAATAAAATGCATTTAGCACTTAATAAAGTGTATTTCACTGCGTGTCCTAACTCCCCACCAATAAAACCCTATAACTACCGTTTTCACAGGAAAACATGTAGGGAGTAGGAATTAATGAGTGGGCATACATAAGCTACTGTTGCCACACATTCCAGTGAGCAAAAATGATCTATGATTCTAAGCTCGGAATTCTTACTTTTCTAAACTAGAGTTTACATTTTTATCAATCAATTATCACAACATCACAAACGCAGTTACCATACCGCCTCTGAGTACCGGATTGGGTGCTACCAGGGGATTTTACTCATTTTCTGGGTTCAGCACTGCCACGTTCTAAGTTCTAACTGAAGAAGCAGTAATCAGAGTACGGCATTTGCCTTCGCAATTATCTAAATGACACCGGTTGCTGATTGGGTGTTTCCAACGAATAAACGATTTTTGTTAACATCTGCACATGCCTTTTTTAAGTAATTTCAATTGCCGCCTGGACCGAAAAAAAAACTTTTTTGCTTTGGTTTACTGCAGCGTTTGAAGGAAATTCGAACAAAGACGAAGCAGAAGAAGGCTCAACTACGCGAGATTCAAAACGTCCTTGACGCCGTTGATACCGAGGGACAGGATATGACCATCGAGGACTTCAAGTCCGAAATGAAGTAAGATGCTTCCCTAATTTGGCGGCTAGTTGTGCTTGAGTTTATATTTGCCTTTTACTACATCTGGGGAATTCAAGTCATAAGATAGACATTGCTTGCGGTTTACTGCGCTTTTCTTGTTATTTTAACGGTAGTTTTGCTAACTTTAGCCTGGATTCTCAAGCCCAAGAGTCGGACCAACTTGGTGTTTTGCTATCGGATCTCAAGTAGGCATCGAACGGTTACGGAATGCCCTCGTCCCATTGTGCCTTGGAGCACGGTTTCAAGCGTAATCAGCAGCCGTTCAACGGCCAGCCGATACAATGGGCAGAAATGCGTTATCGTCAAAAACTAGGGAGACTGGAAAGGTTATTTCCGGCTTTTTAGCCGTCATCAGCCAGGCATACCCAAGAACATGCTTGGCGACGCCAAGATTCAAACGCGCGACCGTTGGTCAATCAATGCAAACGCTTACCATTGAACCGCGGG